GGATCTTCATCAGGAGAGGATCTTCATCAGGAGAGGATCTTCATCAGGAGAGGATCTTCATCAGGAGAGGATCTTCATCAGGAGAGGATCTTCATCAGGAGAGGATCTTCATCAGTTGATACAAGTTGAAATGAAGCTTTGCTTCTAAAAACACTGATTCTAGAAATGTTTTGATCCACATGGAAACAGAGCTGCAGTAACTGTTCCATCACCAGGAAACAGGAAGTTTACATCTTAGATTCCACTTCCTGTTGGACGCATCACAATGTAAACACAAACCATGCACTGTATATATTTACTGTACTATAGTGTACAGTATTACACTGTAAGAAAACTTTAGTTTAGTATATCGGTCTCATAATAAAATCAGAAACACATTTTARCTGATAGAAGATGGTAAAACTTGGTTAGAGCAGTTTCTGCAGTAAAGTGACTCTACTGCTCAGAAATATTAACAGATTAAAAAAGCTCCACTTTAAACCTGAAACATAAGAGCTTCAGAACCTCCAACAAGTTTTTTTATATTTTTAAACATGTTTCATGAAAATAAATACAATAATTGTTTTAGCTGTAATCAATTATAAACTTCAGAAATCCAAAATATTTTATTGTTCGACAAATTTCTGTTTATTTTTGGAGCTTTGATTTGATTAACTAACTAAATAAGTTCTGCTTCTGAGTCAAATAACAGCTGATTTAAAGATGTTTGTTCATTGGAAACAGGTCTGTCTTTAATTAGACCTTCTGTTTAAAACAAGGTGGAATAAATACATTAAAAATAATAAAAAACAGAAATAAACTCATTTATTTTTGTTCCTTCTGTCCCTGAGATCATGTTTTACATTAACAGACAGTTATTTCTACAGACAGTTATATATGTGGTGCTGTTTGTAAAGTTACAGTCAAAAATTACCACTAATATTTTTGTTTTATTTATCCTTTTACAAGAAAAAAGAACAGATTTATTTTTCAAAGTCAGTTTTTCACCATATGATTCATACA